AACAGGATTGTCAAATTGGGCAAATACATAGAATGCCCATGTAAATTTAAATTATAGATTTAAAAAAATATTTAGCATAAAAGCATACACATATACTGGTAAAACCTCTACAAATGTTCTTCTTTTTGAAATTAATTCTATGTACAGTTATGCAACAGTTCACATTCATTTCCATTACTAATACACTTTTCAGAAAACATTTTAATATACTATCTCTCTCCTTATGCCACCACAATAAGATAAATTGAGGTGTTCCTTTGAGAACTGTACAAATGTGTGTGTATCTTATTGACAAAACCTTAAAGCTATAAAGTCCCTAAAACTGGAGTGCATGTCTTTTCTTTATATCCACAGCACTGATCTATCTTTCTGAAATATTGAAGAGATTAATATACCTATCTTTAATTGAACAAAATGGAAACATTACATCTACAGTAAGATAGCTGGGAATAAGTTTACAAGCACGAATCAGTTAACTTTCAAATCTTATGCTCTTACACATACTGGACTTCTCAGCTCAGATAATTTTTAAGTAGATTTATGCTAATTTTTAAAACTGTGATAATATAAATAGGTAATCTTTAGCCTTACAAGATAAAGTGAAAAAATTAAAACAGTGGTAGTCATTATATTTTGCAATACAGTAAGAGAAAACTATAAAAAAAAATGTTAACAGTGAGGCCATTAACTGCTAAGGATAGACATTTATATGAGCATATCCTATATAATAAGAGGCTAATATGCAAATCGACCAAATGGCAGGACAACAGGTCGCTCTGACACGCACTGACCACCAGGGGCAGACGTTCAATGCAGGAGCTGCCCCTTGGTGGTCAGGGCACTCCCACAGGGGGATCACCACTCAGCAAGAAGCCCTGAGCCGGGCTCACAGCTGGCAAGAACAGTGGCAGCAGAGGGAGCCTTACCGGCCTCCCTGGCAGCACTAAGGATGTCTGACTGCAGGCGTAGGCCTGCTTTCCGGGGAGAGTGGGCCTAAGCCATCAGTCAGACATCCCCCGAGGACTCCTGGACTGCGAGAGGACAAATTTCATGCACTGGGCCTCTAGTTATTTAATAATGGCTTAAAAACTTGCCTTCTATTTTTAAACAAAAGAACATACTTTGAGGAAAACTTTATCTAGATATTAAAATGCTAAACATTACATAAATGATATTCTTAAAGTCCAGAGATATTGTAAAAGAAGTTTCACACAGTACCTAATTAATTTTAGTTTCTCCACCTAAAATAATATTTCTCATTACTCCCCTCACTCTCCATAAGCTGGTGTCTAAGAGGTAGAATAACTCATTTTGTAAAACATTGCATTACATTAATAATACTTAGATGATAACCCAATTATCACAAATATAGCATCACAGATATTTTATTAACCCACAGCATTTCCTTTGTAAAGTATAACTTATTATGACTTCTCTGATTTTGTGCCCATAAAAAAAAAAAAGGAAATCATATATTTGCCTTTAGAAAATCCTACCTGTAGTTTATAAGTTTTAGTTTACTAACTTTAACTCAAATTTCAGATTAATAATGCTAAATCAAAATATAGGTTTTATGCTGTGTGATTATAAAATGTGCAGGAGAGTTGTAATAGATCTTAAAAATAAATTTCCATTGAAAATGAATATTTTAAAGCCTGACAATACAAGTGAACCCTTTTAACATACACTTTCTCCTAACAAATGTATTTGTAATGTAATAATTATTTACCTAAAATTGAATGTGGCAATAAAAACGAATGTTTTCAAGCTATAAAAATTCATCCTTCTACTGTACTGAAATATTTCCAATAGTCAATATTCATTTATTTGTCCATATACCTGCCAAATTTCATATTCTTTATAGAGTTATCCTAGAAATGAGTTTGGGACTCCTATATGAAATGGGTAATATTAAAATTGAAGTCCCTCATAGTTTCATTTTTCTGTTTTGAAGAGACACTGAATTCTCAGGGGTGCTATTCAAAAGGCACATAACATTAATAAAAGCTTCCGATATTAAAATTATACCACAGAAAAAGCATTTGTGTGCTTCTGAGAAGCCAAAACTTCAGTTTTTTAAAAAAGCAATATGCCTGGTTGAATTAACACAATATATTTTTAAATGTCCAGAGATTATTTTCATTTTAAAATAGTCCTTATATTTAGAAACGCAAATAGCACAATTCCTGTTATAAAATTACAGAAATACTAAGAAGAAAAATATTTTAAATAATTTTCATTTACTATTACAGATAAATTATCCTTCTAACTAATCACAGGGGGCCTCTGAGGTTTACAATAATTGGTTTGCTAAGGTTGTGGAGAAAGTTAACATATCAACACTAAAACACACACACACACACACACACACACAACAACAACAACAACAACAACACTGGGATATTTTCCTTTGGGGAATATTATAATTAATCTAATAGTTAAAACTAAATAAAGACAAGATCAGATAAAAAACACATTTTTAATTCCATCCACATCAAGTCTATAACTAGGATTATCATATAAACTACATCTAATGTAGTTAAAAATAAAAGTCTTTTGTTCTCTAAAACCAATATGACAATCTTTGAATAATATAAAAATTATTATCTAATACTAGATCTCTGCTAGCTATCTAAATAATGACATTTTTATTTTGGTTACCAATATACAAATGGTTTTCTAGACATTAGAATTTCGTACTTCAAAGATTTAACAATTAAATTTGAGGAAACTCCTCATAATATTTTTTAAATATATTTTTTATTGATTTCAGAGAAGAAGGGAGAGAGAGAGGGAGATAGAAACATCAATGATGAGAGAGAATCATTGATTGGTTGCTTCCTGGGGATTGAGCCTGCAACCCAGGCATGTGCCCTTGACTGGAATCGAACTTGGGACCTTTCAGTCTGCAGGCTCTATCCATTGAGCCAAACCAGCTGGGGCCTCATAATATTTTTTAACATGTATTATACTATAACTTGGGATAACCTCTCAACAAGACAGATTTTGACAATTTTGTATTTCAGTATAGGTAGCAAATTAAATGCGAACATTATTGCCATATTCTTTAACAAAAACTAGATGGGTTTTGGAAAAAGGGCACTGAACTGACGGAGTATCAAGAGGACTTGGAGATATTTAGAAGCACAGATTAAATGGACCCAGTGGTCCCTAGACTAGTTCTCTCTTCCTAGTTCACCCTTGTTCTCTCCATATGCAACATGTATTTGGAGAGATTTGGTCTTTTAATCAAAAGATAAATTCATATTTTTATTTTTTAATTAAAGTAATGCCAGCTTTCCAGAGCTTCTGATAACATACAATAAACATCATCACTACATTGAGTTTGCATAATATTAACCAAAAGCAATTAGTCATTTTGAGAAGCTTGAGTTTAATAGGGAAATAAACTTTTCACGTTAGTCTTCTCAAATATTTAATATCATTTCTAACGTTAGTTATCACAATCAACATTCCTAGAGTTCCAAGAACTTCCGACTGGGAAGGAGTTAGAGAGTGCAATCCTTTCTCTTTGGCGAAAACCAAGTTCAATTAGACAACGTACCCTCATAGAAGCCACTTACTGTCAGAGTTGTATACTGATCTTTTCTCAACCCCACAATTATTACAGATGCATTTGACAGACTTTAGAAATCAGATGTTTAAACGTTGCTACTCATAACGAAGTGGAAACCCAGGATCCCTAATTGATCCTGAATTCTTTTCTAATGATTAGGGACATAAATGTCACTTACCTTATTCCTTTGAGAAGACCTTCATTAACAATTTCTGCCTACCAACTGCTTTTCCATTCATGAATCTATAATTTCACCTTAATAGGTGGACTAAGATGTTTATTCCTACTGGTTATCCCCACACAGAATTATACTTCTTGCTAAATATTTATATGTTTATATTTAATAAGTTCCTTTTCAATTAGATTACTTTTATAAGAGCGTCATAACTGGCCAATACTCATTGATTCTGCACCAGCCACATATAGAAATCAGAGAGACAGAGAGGGTTAGATGAATAATTAGCTTGTGGTACAAAGGTGTCAAGTTTGTAGGCACTAATCTTTGATCAGGATGTTTGAAAAGAAAAGAATAATTAAGAAAAACTCACTAATTCTCTAACTTACAAAACTCTTGACTGCTTTTAAATAGATGGAAATATAATCTTTTAGCATGTGGAAAAAAGAAGGTAAGTAAATATAGGGCCCTTTATATTATTACACAAAATTATACTAAGAAATGTAATAACAAAGAAAATACTAATAATAGAAAATTAATATCAATACTAATGTAATGTAACAATACTGTTAAAACAGAAACCTTTTTATTATATGAAGTACAGAACAATAAATCTATTACATACTTACGCTCCTCAGATTGTTACATTTTTTTCTTTCAATTAGCCAATAAGAAACTGTATTTATCAAATTTATTTATAGCATTAGTTGATCTGAAAGAGTATTAGGATTACATTAAATATAATCAATTCTTACACAGAAATGGATCAAACTGAGGTGCACTTCAAGCATACCTGCACTATCAGATAATCATGAAATGGAAAAGGTTTGATTTCCAAAAACAAAATCTGGGAGATAAAAACCAAAACTAAATAACTGCCATTCAAATTTTTCTTTGAAACTGCAACAGACATTTATTAAAATAAATTATGATTTTATAATATAACTAATTATCCAAGTAAAAGAGAGTGTCAATCATTTTATCAACAGGATATTTGTATGCACTGTACATGCTAACATGACTTAAAAAAACATATTTTACAACTAACTACTGCTTCTACACATACTGCCTTAAAATGACTGGTAAAGTTGGTTCTGAAGCTTTAAAAATAAAATACTGACTTGTTCAATCTTAATAAATAAAACTGACGTGAAAACCTACATTTTAAAGAAGCATGTTAATGAAGCAATAGAGACCCATGTGTTTGCTTGAATCTTTTAAGAAAAGATTAAGTGCTATTACTGATACCTCTCTCCGGCGAGAAGCCCAGCACGTCTGCTTGATCTTCCAGACCACGGCAGCCACCAATAATAAGGACAAAAAACAACTGGAAAACAAAACACAAATAATTGCTGCTTAAAATTAAGTTAAGAAACGTAATAAAAGAATATGCGGAAGATTTAAATATACACAGGCTGGGTCAAAAGTAGGGTTACAACTATGAGTAGTCAAAACACAGAGTTTATTATTGTATTATTTATTAATCATTGTATTATCTTCCATACAAACAGCTGGAGACCTACTTTTGCCCTACCCTGCATATAGAGAAGTAATCGCTTTGCCTTGGTAAAAAATTCTGGCCAGTACATATGACACACACTGGCAATTTAAAAATTAAGGTTGACTTGTGCTTGCACAATAGATATTAAAATATTTTGCATTTTAATTTTATAATACTATATTATATATATTATTTTGACATGTAATTTTATGCAGTAATGTAATTATCACACAAATCTTTCTTCTAATTAATTTCCTTTCAATGTGCACGAAGTCGTGCACCGGGCCACTAGTCTCTCAATAAAAGATGTAGGTGAGTCCAATTAATCAATCAATAATTATTTTCTCTTCCTTTTCTCTGTGATCAGAGATTAAGCTGTACAAAAATATAGAAGCGAGAAGACTTGAGCCACTACGAATTGACTGGTCACTATAAAAATCCTGGTCTTCGTCCTTAATTAATAATCCTAGTAGTCATCAATTGATTTATTCATAAGCAGTGAAATTTTTTTTACACTTTCCACACTTTTCATGACTTTTCTACATTTTTTTCTCCTTGTCTCACTTGAAGAAATTTTAGAATGTCCTTCAATGAATGATGACGGTGACAATTCCAGCACCTGTCCATGAATGCTGAAAACCATCCAGGTACTGTGCTAGATACCTTATACTGATCATTGCCTTTAGTTTTATAAGAATACTGCAGATAGCATATAATATTCGTTTTTTAGAAAAGAAGAATCCAATGCTCAGAGTTCAAAGTAAAGGGCCTATAGTCACACAGAGAGCAAGTCGTAGTATCAAAATTCACACGCAGCCTCACACTCCTTCCTCCCCATCTGCTGGGAGCGGGGAGCTTGCCCATTATCTCACAACAGTCCTATTTCCATACACATTCTCTAATTCTGGCTTCAGTATCAAAAGAAGTAGATTAAAAAAAAAAAAAAGTCTGTGTCCCTAACCTTTCCAACCTCTGAGGTATCTTTTTATGCTTTATATAATTATCTCGTCTCATAATATTTACAACTTGTTTTCATCCTAATTTAAATTTTCCACAGTACTCAAATCCCCTCCCACCAAAAAATAAAAACAATACCCCTCCTTTATTGGCCCTGTAGCTTCCTCTATTTTACCAAGCATGGGTCAATGCACCCACTTCCATGTCAAGTGCCTCATAATATAGTTTGATTTAACTATTTAGAATCTGACATCTTACTTGTGAGCTAATAAAAATGTTAAGATTAAGAATAATTAATGTTTATATAACACTGAACACTTTGTAGGACACTTTCCTCACCATGACTTCCAAATAATTAAATACACTGGTCTTTTCTCAATCAACTGACTTTTACTTCTCAACTGACAAATCCCAACCATCCTTTCTTAGAAACTCTGTCTGAATACTGTGTTTCCTTGGTTCCCCTCTATACTTCCTGACACTTTACAACAGTGGTTGGCAATCTCATCAGTGAACAGAGCCAAATATCAATAGTACAATAATTGAAATTTCTTTTGAGAGCCACATTTTTTAAACTTAAACTTCTTGGAATGTCACTTCTTCGAAACAGGCCATGGTATTTTGTGGAAGAGCCAAACTCAAGGGGACAAAGAGCCGCATGCGGCTCGCGGGCCGCAGTTTGCCAACCGCTGCATTACAGGATCACTGAAGGCGGGTTGCATTCCAGATGCCCTCTGCTAAAAATTACGGACATTCCTGAAAATTCACTTCACAGCAACCATGCTATTATCTTCTCCTGCTCTCAAAGAGAGAGCTCAGCTATTTTCAAGCCTTCTATGATGACCTCACTTGCAATGGTTTTCAGATCTGTATCATTAGACAGACCTGCCAAAACACGAACATCTAAGAGATTATTTAGTTCAAACTCTTTCCAGAAAAGAAATTCTCAGCAGAATCCTGATAGTGACCCAGCGCCTAATTAAATGTTGGTGCCTGAGAAGCTGCCTCACACGTCCATGCATCCTATTTTTAGCTTTCACTATTTTATAGTTCAAGCTATGGAAATATCCTTCTATGTAATTGTCTTTTTCAATTAGTGCTGCTTCTGCTTTCTGGGTTACACTGAGTCAGTCAGTTCCTTCTCCTTTGTGCTGAAACTTCCTATATACTCGAAGAAGCCTACATGATTGCCTCTACTCCAGAATTTCTCAGCCAGGAGCCTTTGTCCTCTAGGGGGCATTTGGCGGTGTCTGGAGACATGTTTGGTTGTTTCCACTCGGTGGGTGTCCAGTGGGATGTAGGATACACAGGCCAGCCCCCCACCACCAAAATTTTTCCAGATCAACATGCTAACCCTGAGTAACCCTGTTCTAGTCTGAATTATTAGCACAGTGCTTGCACTTCCTTGTAACTGTTACAATATTTACTGAGATGTGATACTTAAATATAGTCCAAGGATCTATTCACCTGGAAACCTGTCCTACCATTATCGCCATAAGAATTTTAACAGTATAGATATAAATCTCACCTCCAACTTACCATGTTCAGACTGAACTCCTGGACAATATTCATAAAAATAAAAGCAACTAACATCTGTGGACCAAGCACTAGGGTGTGTTACATGCATATTTCTTTAATTGCCATAATGATGCAGGATAGGCCCTAGACACTGTTATGTACTCATTTAAAAGATGAGAAGGCTAACTCATGGAGAATTTAAGTAAAACGCCTAAGTTATAAAGGATTTGGTTACAAGTCCTCCCCTTTCTTCCAACTTCATTCTTAACATTACTTTTCAGCTAAAATGCAAAAAAGTGCATTCAATCTTATTATTCTTCATACTCAATCAGAAACCAAATTTTGTCACCTGATTCTTAAAGAACACCTGCAGTAGTAGATAATAGTACATATACTAAAAGTCACTTATATTAAGCACTAATTAAATAGCAAATAATGTTTTTCACAATCTGTAATTCGCAATGTTTTTCAGTCAAAATAGTTACATGGTAGAGATTCAACTTAAGATGAAGACTTGCTGAGCTTCTCTATCAAATCTTTCTGATTTAAATTTCATGACTCAAGTGAATACTTCCACTTTCATAATGGTGCAGAAATCCAGATAAAAATGTTCAGTTTTCATAATTTCAACCTCTTCCGAGGAGGAGATATATATTTCAGAGGTTTGCAGCCAACCCTCTCTATGCTAATTGATATTAGATTCGAGCTCATGATGATATAAATAAATAGGCTGGTAAAATCAATAAATATCTTAAGAAAATATTCTAATAATCTCCAAAAATTATTTAAAGCTCAATGAAATATATCTCAGTTTCTGGCAAGTAGTAGTCGTCGTTAAACTTTTTCTAAATAAGTGGAATTGGTTCTTTAATGGATTTGAATATCTTATCATTTTTCTGACACTGAAGGTCTTATTTGGCATTATTAGCCTTATATCCAGGTAATACTTTATAACTGTTCTTGATTTGTAATAAGTTACATTGCAAGTGAAAAATTACAGTTCTTTTTAAATATCGGCATTTAAAATGAAAACAGTCTATTAAGAACACTTGCTTCATAAAAAACAAACAAGGAAAATCGCTTGACAAGCTGATCCAGTATTGCTGAAGAGCTGCAGGCATCCTTTGGGGACTAAGAGAAAACCCAGTCTCCGCTGACAATGGGGGAGAAAGTCTGAAGAACCCAGACTTCCCATCAGCCTGCATTCCTCGATGTGGTGGTGCCCCTCACCCCACTATGTCCCTCCCACCGCCTCCTTTCTGCCCACTGGGCTTTATGTGAGTAAAAAACTTGTATTACACAAAAGGACTGATATTTATGGATTTATCTGTTCCAGTTAGCTTTTCCCTAATATATTTCTTTTTTAAAAATATTTTATTGATTTTTGTACATAGAGGAAGGGAGAGAGATAGAGAGTAAGAAATATCGATGAGAGTCATCAATCAGCTGCCTCCTGCATACCCCCTACTGGGGATATGCCCGCAACCAAGGTACATGCCCTTGACTGGAATCGAACCCGGGACCTTACAGTCCCCAAGCCGACACTCTATCCATTGAGCAAAACTGGTTTCGGCCCTAATATATTTCTGAAGTCAAAAATTTTAAGGGCAATGTCGACTGTTAGCATCCTACTATCGGGTATTGTGGTAAATTTATCTGAGCAAAATGTTTCATCACTTTCTTTCAGGTCTTTTCCTATTACTAGTACATTACACAGTGGTTTATAGCTCCTTGGTGGAGATTGGGGTGGGGGGGCAGGGAGTAGTTGAGCTTTCTTTTTAAAAAGTGCTGGGTAATAATATCAGAAGATCTGAGAGGTTCGTCATCCTTCCATTAAACCCCCAATGAAAATGAAATAGGAAAAAAAGAAAACATTAAAAAAAGGAAACATTAAAAAGCTAGCATGTAAGCTACAGGGATAAAAAAAGGGAGAGCACGGGAACTTAGGGAGAGATATTTCAATAATTTGATTTTAACCTTCATAAAATGGTCATTATAGAAGGGATTCTTAAAATAAAATAAGAACACAGAGCTCATTAAGTATTCCCATTTAGGGAAAATTAAAGAGAATTCAATAAAATGACTTAGTGTGAGATGGGTTATATTGTGAAGCAGGCCTAAAGAGACAGAGAATACCCTCTGGTGGTAATCTAGTTGGCCGAATGCAAAAAGCGATAATATTGTCACTATTTTACAGCAATTTGAGGTTAATTGAGCATAAAAATCAAGTCTTAAATAATATTTTAAAAGACAACTGTGGCATGTTAATCTTTTATTTCAATTAAAAATGTTACAAACTAGGGAATTGTGTTGAAATATAGAAACATATTATTTTAAAAAGCAATTTATTTCCTAATAACTGTTCCTCTGGAAAATATATTTCAAAGGTTTTTAAAATATCTTCCTAAACACTTGAAGGATTTTTTTAACCAAGTAAAATATTAAAAAAAAAATCACTAACTTAGAATGAAAAATATATATATACACCAATGCAAATATAAATATATACACACACAAAAAAAAACTTCTTTAGTGCAAAAATAAATTTACTTCTTTCAGTTATCAAATTGACAAAAAGATGAAAAACTAACAAAGTCTTCTGGATGAAACTGGAAAAACATATGCTCACAATGTACAGTGGTACCAACGTTCTGAGGGTTTACTAAGCAAGAACCAACCAGACCTTAGGAAGCTGTATCAGTTGAGATGATTTTAAATGCAACTAACTAACAGAAAACTTAATGCCACATGTACAAACAATATTGGGACTAAATGGACTTCAAACTCCTCGCTATGACTAGATTGCACTGACCCAATTTGGATGCTGAAATCCTAAACCCAATGTGACTATATTTGGAGTCAGGAATTAAGAGATAATTAAGGTTAAATGAAATCACAAGAGTGGAGCTCTGATCCGCAGGAATAACCTTCCTATAAGAAGCCAGAGCCACCCGAGAGCCATGGAGCTCGCTCTCCCTCCGTCTCCGCGCACACACATGGAAAGGCCATGTGAACACACACATGGAAAGGCCATGTGAACACACAGCGACAAGTGGCCGGCCGCCTACAGGCCTGAGAGAGAGTGGACATCCGAAACCAAACAGGCAGGCAGATCCACTGAGACTGACCTACCAGCCCCAGCACTGAAAGGCGATCCTTTCCCACTGTGTGATCCACCAGCCTTTGGTACTTTTTATGGCAACATGAGCAGAGCAAGACTGATTTGGGTACCAAGTGTAACAATTACCTAAAAACGGGAGGCGGCTTTAGAACTAGATAATGAATAAAGGTTGGAGGAATTTTGAGGTGCATGTCAGAAAAGGCCTAGATTGCTATGTAAAGACAGGGGAAGGAAACATGGATTAAAAGGCGATTCTGGTGAGAGGTCTCTTAAAATGTATCAGTGGCCTTATTAAAAACAAACAAACAAAAAAACTAAAGTTCAACATATTCTGCCCATATTTTTTCTTAACAATGAGAAAACTTTAATGCTAATTTACACTTCACTTCTGAAACAGGTTTAAATGATGAGAGAAACGTCAAATATATTTTATCTCACACAATGACCAGAGTGGTTTTTCCACTCTGTCCAGGATGACAACATAATAACTGAGACCGCTAAGACATGGCACACATTAATGCTAGCTTGCTTTTATTTAATAGAAGAACTTTTACATTTAACTAGGCACACAAATTCAAAAGCTCCCAATAAAACCTTAAATAATTCACATGTAGATCTAGCATTGTGAATTTTTACAGAGCTGAACTTCTCAGTATATTCCCTTCCACACTATTCTGCATCAGAAACCGTTTTACTTTGATGCACTAAATAATGTTCATTTGATTATAACTTCTAATACTTTCCAAAAACATATTACAATTATAGCCTCGAGATCCATTTATATTCAGAAGTACAAAGTCATCAAACATTATATTTAAGATGTTTCCTCCAATTTCACTTCTAAGAGACATTTAAAGCATAAATAAATGGTGCACGCACGTTAGTGATTTGTGTGTGTGTGTGTGTGTGTGTGTGTGCATTCAATTCTGTAAATTAAATTTCTCAAGGGACGTAGATAAACTTGACTGTTTTCAGAGCAAAGTGACCACTATGGCAAAGATATTGACAACAGAAATGGATTAATAAGCAAGGAATGTGAAAACTGGAGGAAACAGTGTAGAAAACAGAGGGGCTGTAAATGGAGAGAGATTCGACTTTCTGTGGAACGGGCCCATATGGATGCATTAGGAGAGATATTCTAGGGACACGGATTTCATCTCAGTTATGAAGAACAATTAGCTGTCTGGAGATAGGAAATGCTATCTCGGGAGATGGTGCGTGTGCTGTCATTAAAGCCACTCAGGCATAAGCGAGAGCAGAGCTGGGCACGCCGTGTCCCCGGCAGTGTCCTGCCCACCAGCTGTTTCGTAATAAAGGTTCACTGGAGCACGGCCACCCCGTTTGTCTCCACATTGGCTGCGGCTGCTTTAGCATCAGAGTTGTGTCCCTGCCACAGGGACCTCACGGCCCTCACAGGCCAAAATGTTTACTGTCTGGCCCTTCACAGCAAGGGCTTGCTGACCGGGGTGGGGAGCGCATTAGAAAACCAGGCACTGTGTGGGTGTCTGGGCGAGATACACAGTAATGGCCATTGTCGAATCTCTCTCCATTTACAGCCCCTCTGCTTTCTACACTGTTTCCTCCAGTTTTCACATTCCTTGCTTATTAATCCATTTCTGTTGTCAATATCTTTGCCATAGGTGTTCAGGAAAGTGCTAGGCACAGCCTCTGTGTTGGGCTGGGAAGAGTCTTACTACTGTATGAGCCAGAACTACCAACGTGGTGAGTGAAGGTCAAAGTTCATACTGCACTCTGTTGTGTGTAAAGCTGTGTGCTGTGATGAGGGGCTGTGTCTGCCAGGCGAGGAGACACATCTGTCTAGTTTGTACAATGGCACCTGATGGACTCACACAGTTGTGTACAGCATCATCACGCTAACAAAAACAGCATTCCTCCCCGCCCAGACGATCCAAGCTCCCATGACACGAAAACTCAGCTGCTTCTCCTAACCCTGTGCTTCTTCGTTTCACTCTATCGGAAGAGCGTTTCCATGTTTTGAGAAATCTTCAAACTCTAACATCTTTTTTAGAAAGACACATTGTAAATTAGTGTATTAAAAACTCTGAGAAGCAATGTAAGCTAAAAAATAAACGAAAAGGGCCTTACTTAACCTTGGTATTACATTTTCCAAAGTTGTTTAATTATGAAATCCCTTTTTATGAAACTACTAGAGGCCCAGTGCACAAATTCGTGCACTAGTCAGGTCCCCTGGATGGGGTGGAAACCAGCTCTGCAACATCCCCTAAGGGGTCCTGGATTAAGAGAGGGTGCAAGCCAGGCTGAGGGACCCCACTGGTGCACTGGGCCAGGGAGGGACATGAGAGGTTGGCTAGACAGGGAGAGACCACAGGAGGGCTCCAGGGCATATCTGGCCTGTCTCGCTCAGTCCCGACTGGCAAGACCCCAGCAGCAAGCTAACCTACCAGTCGGAACATCTGCCCCCTCGTGTCTGTGCATGTCAATCGAGCAGTTGAGTGGCCTTAGCGTATCATTAGCACATTACGCTTTTGTTGAATGGCTGACCAGTTGACAGGAAACTTAGCATATTAGGCTTTTATTATATAGTATTGTTGCTATCTCGAATAACTCATGTCCTAGGGAATGTTGCTCTATTCAGTTATATTTAGTACTCCCAGATTATAAACTCTTTGAGAACAAAATACATGTGTGTTCCTATCCCTACAGATTTAACACATTGCTAAACACATGTGATAATTTCCTAAGAAGTCACTGAATTGATTTAGTGTTAGGACATGTACCTAATCAATACGGTGAATGTACTGTTCTTATGTGACAGGGGAACCCGAAGGTATCCTCATTCCATTTTCCATTAAATAGTCCAAAAGTAAAATAATCTTGCTAAAGTATATTTCAAGTATGTTTCCTCTGCTCTGTGACATATATTTAAGCATATAAATCAAAGTCAATGAAAGCAAATTACCTGAAGAAGGTGACAAAGAACTGCACAAGATCCATGATTGTATTGTGTTGTGAAAATGCAATCTGAAAGATCAAAATAAAAGAGAGTTTGAAATTTACTGAATAAATATGGTCAAGTTGCATGGTATTTGTAAATATAATACTTTTAAATAATTAAGACCATTGATCACCATATTATAAATCACTCATGCTGGAATCAAAATCAGTTACAATACCCTCAATCTGTAGTTTGAAAACTTTCTCACTCTAAAATGTTAAAATTAGATTTTAATGTAGGGAGATTCCTATTGGCTAGTGAAATGGCCCTTATAGATAATCAACATGTACCCATTTTGGTCCTATGGTCATTCCCACGAAAAATACGACAAGATTTTTCAAGTCACATTTAAAGTGAATTTTAAAACTTTAGCCCACATAAATGTACCTTAGGCATTCCTTTTTCTGAAATGATTTTATTCATGTTATCTAATAATAATTCAAAAATTAATCAAATCAATAGACCAATTAATAGTAATATTTAATAGTATCTTCTTTTGCCCTGTTTTTAAACAGCTCCCAAATAAATGATAAAGTGAGTACAAAAATACTAAGCTAGGTGAAACTACAGCAATAGTAATGATAAATCACATTGAATGCATGCTCAAAATCTAAAACCTAAAATTAAGTAAAGCTACGTTTTTCATTAAGTAATAACAATCAACATTTTGAATTTGTGATTCAAATAACAAGTTTGCATTACATACATTTGGATAGAGAAGTAGACTGTTAGCCACAAAATAACAGAATTCTTATTTATTTTGATTACGAAGGACAAAGTGCTGTTTGTGCAAATGCCCAATTGCCATAAATTCTGATAAATATTTGAGATAAATGAAAATGTAAATGAATGTGCTAAAATTATCAAACTAAAATCATATAAACTAAAAGGGCCCTACTTAACCTTAGTATACATTTTCCAAAGTTGTTTAATTATGAAATCCCTTTTTATGAACCTACTAGAGGCCGAAAAAAGCAAAAGAGAGGTTTTCAAACAACTATTTAGATTATAGTCTTGCAAAATGCCAACATAATAGAAGTTAGTCAACTAGTAATATCTCAAAGACGACTGATGTTTCAGGTAGGCAATTCAAGATCGCATTAGGTTCTTATTTATTATTAAGAGGCCAGGAGCATGAAATTCGTGCACGGGTAGGGTGCCTAGGCCTGGCTGGTGATCAGGGCCGATCTGTGGGGCGACCAGCAAGGCAATTGGGGGAACCCACTGGCACCTGCCTTGGCTGGCCCGGGGCCTGTGGGTAGCTCCTGCATTGAGTGTCTGCCCTCTGGTGGTCAGTACACATCATAGCAACCAATCATTCAACTAGTTGTTCCACCATTCTGTGGATTTGCATATTGGGCTTCTGTTACATAGGATTTTTTTTAAAAGGATTTAAAGCAAATTGGAGATTAAATTACCCATTATTTAACTATGAAAATCTAGTCCAATAAGCATAAATTTCCTATAGATAATAACATACTGTTAATTGATATAATAATATGTATCATTCCTAATAAATATTTCAAAAATGGAGTTAAATAGAAAATCGTAAAATTTTAAAAAATAAAACCTATTTCTGGATATAAACATAAAGAATAAACATACTATCCAATTCTGTATAAATATTACAGTAATTATAATCCTTGAGTATTATCTATAAAAATATAGTGGGTTCAATTATTTTTAGAGCAAATAAATGCCTTAGCAAGGGAACTTACAACTTTCCTCCTGGTTCAATGCAAAAACTTAACTGGTCTCCTTAGCTTCAATTTCATAACATCTGGTCACTCTTCACCCGGCTAACAAAAAGTTCTCTTTGAAATGGCAAGAATTTCCTGTGATTCCCCTCTTCATAGTCCTTCATTCCCCTGCGTAAAGTCCCTCGATATTTTCCATCACTTTTAGCTTGGACTGCAACTTCCAAAATATGACCCCTGTTTCTTTCTCTGCCCCTGGCACTGACTCAGCAATCTGATCAGATAACAGTACTAGTAGTTTCCAATATCTGCCATCCTTTATCAACCTCTGTTCCTGTCTCTTTCGTGGCCTCGGTTGTACCACTGTTGTCCCTACCACATACTTCTACAACAGAACCGCTAAAACAAAGAACAACAAAAAGCCAACTAAGTCACTGTTGCCCAGGCACTTAGTATCCTCATTCACATTTCTAATTTATTTTGGCAGCAGAATTATTACATAAAGTAGGTAATGTCATTAAATCCATTTTATAGATGAGGAAATAAAGATTTACAGGTTACACCAGCAATACGAGTAGAGCTAAAATGGAAATCAATGCACTACAAACTCTAATTTTTATGTTCTACACTCTCCTAAGACCTGTGTACTGAGTATCACAGTGTACTGTGACAATTAGCTTACCTTTCTTTTCTCTCCATCTGACTTCAAGATATTTGAAGTCAGGCATTACAATGTTCAGCTATTCCTTCTTAGCTACTACCCTGTTTCCCCGAAAATAAGACAGTGTCTTATATTAATTTTTTCTCCCAAAGTTGCGCTAGGTCTTATTTTCAGGGGATGTCTTATCTTTCCATGCACTAGGTCTTATTTTCGGAGGATGTCTTATTTTTGGGGAAACATGGTAGCAAAGAACCTAGAATTTTGACTTATGTTTAGTAAATAAATTACAGTAACTTCTAGAGATATAGATCTCAAAGTTCTAAATAGAAAGTCTTAAAACAGTTTCTTTTAACTAAAGGTCAAGCCATACAAGAAAATAAAAATTACTTTTATATCAAGATTATGTCAGTTAAAATACGTAAAACTTTATATCTACTTGTATATTACTTGAAGTTAAAAGATATTACTTGAAGTTAAAAGTTATTATTTTTTCAAAATCATTTTGGTGGAAGCTAAAGGATATTGTTAAAAACATTTATAGCCCTAGCTGGTTTGGCTCAGTGGATAGAGAGTCAGCCTGCAGACTGAAGAAACACAGATTTGATTCTAATCAAGGGCACATGCCTGGGTTGTGGGCTCGATCCCCAGTAGAAGGCATAAAGGAGGCAGCCAATCAATGATTCTCTCTCTTCATTGATGTTTCTACATCTCCCTCTCCCTTCCTCTCTGAAATCAATATAAATATATTTTAAAAAAACACATTTGTAAATGCTAAAAAAAAAAAATCCATTAAAATGACAGCATAAAGAGTTGCATGTAATAATACCTGTTCTTCATTATAATATTAGCATATTTATGAGGTTTCCTGAAGAGCCTCAAGTTTTAGTTCATAAGTCAAAAATATATACTATAACAATAAGAGTAATGGCTTAGAAATCTATACTCAATTTATGCTTGTAAAACCATCTTTTCGAATCCTATGATTTGCAATACAGGTTGTAAGTATAAAGAGTTATAGTTTTGGTTTAAGAGGATGTTTGGGAAAATAGGAGAAATTATGGTAACATGAAAGTCAGGTTTACAAACGATGAGCTTAAGGGAATATATACATGCTGATCAGTCTCCAATCTATTTTCTACCTATATTCACATATACATAAAATTCAAAATTATGACTATTATTTTATCTTGATTCACTATGAATAATTTATACATACTTTAATTTTATTTTGGTTTCAATGGGTTTTGCTTTAAGAATTTTAATGTTTCTATTGATTTATATTGTTTACTTCATTCTTGCAGTTAACCTCCTAGGAAATGACTCAAATAAAATAAATCAAGCATCCATATTTAAAATTGGCTCTTCAGAGATTATGACATTATATGAAGGTACAGCTTTGTTCTATTAATTCTTTAAATGAGTATTAAATATTTTTAAAGTTGAGAGGATTGCTTAATCTATTGTATAATTTTCATGGATACCATTTTAATTTTGGATTTCAAGCAAATACATCATATGGGAACTCTGAGATGAATGCAATTTAAATAAGGGATTTTCTCTCTTGAAATGTTGCCATTTCTTAGATGGGGTGACATAAATACTCAAATATTTCATATTTGGAAAGACCATAACATTTGAAATACACTCACAATTACAGGCTAATAATATCTTCATTGAGGTATAATACAAACACAATTAAATTCCATTTTAATGAATAGTTTATTGAATTTTGGCAATATTTACAAAGCAACTTAATTACCACCATATGGAAAATGTCCTTTTCTTTTGCAATGGAGCCCCTCCATAGACCCTAAAACTTTTATTTACTTTCTATCACGCTAGTCTTTATTTTCTATACAATTTCATATAAAGGAATCACAGGATATGTAATGTTTAATGTTTAATTTCTTTCACTTAGCATAGTATTTTATTTTGTTTCTTTAAATATATTTTATTGATTTCAAAGAGGAAGGGAGAAGAAGATAGAGACAGAAACATCAATGATGAGAATCATGGACTGGTGCCTACTGCATGACCCCTACTGGGGATTGAGCCCACAACCCACGCATGTGTTCTGACCTGGAATCAAACCTTGACCTCCTGGTTCATAGGTCTATACTTAATCACTGAGCCACACAGGCTGGGATATTCAGCACAGTATTTTAAAGATTTGCCCATGTCACTACTTTGTATAAATATTTCATTTATTTATTTTTTTTAAAATATATTTTATTGATGTTTTACAGAGAGGAAGGGAGAGAGATAGAGAACTAGAAACGTAGATGAGAGAGAAACATCGACCAGCTGCCTCTTGCACACCCACTACCGGGGATGTGCCTGCAACCAAGGTACATGCCCTTGACCGGAATCGAACCTGGGACCTTTCAGTCCGCAGACCGACACTCTACCACTGAGCCAAACTGGTTTTGGCAAATAAATATTTCATTTATTTTTATTGACTAGTTTTACAAAGTATGTATAGAGCATAATTTGCTTATTCATGCTCCAATTGATATATTTATGAATTGCTTCCAACTTGGGGGTTTCAAGAGTAATAGAGTTATAAATGTTTGTGATTAAGACTCTTTCTGCAATCTGTTTTCATTTATCTTGTGGGGGGGCGGAGAAACAAAAACTAGGAATGGAATTGCCAAGTGGGATAAATTTT